CAATAAGGAAAAAGCATTAGGATGGGACGACCCTCTACCAGACACGCTATTGTCGCAGTGGCAACGTTGGAGAAATTCGCTTCCTCATTTGGAGAACGTTTCAGTACCCCGCTGCTACCACCCTCCTGGTTTCGGGACAATCGTGAGAAGAGAAATTCACGCCTTTTCGGACGCCAGCAAGGACGCGATTGGAGCTTCAATTTACCTAAGACTCTTTAACGATAGAGGAGAAATCTGCACGGCCTTGCTCTTCGGTCAATCAAAAGTAGCACCTGCTTAGACCACAAGCATCCCCCGCCTAGAGTTGTGTGCCGCTGTCCTTGCCTCGCAAGCAGTTAACAAGATCGTAAAGGAGATAGACATGGAGATTAACCAGGTCACCTTTTACACGGACTCAAAGGTCGTCCTCGGTTACATCCAAAACGAGAGCCGGAGGTTCTATGTTTACGTCGCTAACCGTGTACAAACAATCCAGAAGATTTCCAGCCCCAAGCAGTGGAAGTATATCGATACGAGCGAGAACCCTGCAGACCTGAGTACACGTTGCCTGAATGCGCGCAGTCTCACAGGATCGGATTGGCTAACCGGACCAAGCTTCTTAAGAGACCCAAACAGAACAGCAGCAGAAGATGAAGAGGACGAGATTCCACTAAATGAGAACGATCCGGAAGTACGAAAGAACACCGTGAGCCTGAAAACGCAAACCAGCAAACACCATGGTCTTGGAACAGACAGGTTCTCACGATTTTCGAGCCTTCATTCCTTGCAACGTGCAATCGCAGATTTGATAGTAGTTATCAAGGAGTTCAAACGGAGAAAGAACAAGAGTCAGGAAGAGATGGAGTCGAAAATATCGAGCAGCAAGAACACAAAACTGATGCGGCAGCCAACAGCAAAGGAACTTCAGGAGGCCATGACAGTAATAATTCGCGCCGTACAAAGTGAAAGCCTTTCAGAAGAATTGAAGTCAGACCGAAGGATTGCAGAAAGCAACGAACTGGTGACTGTTCCAAAGAGTTCGAAGCTGTACCGTTTAGACCCCTTTGTGGATAATAATGGTGTTCTACGAGTCGGCGGCCGTCTTCGACGCGCTACTTTAGAGTTTGGAGAAAAGCACCCCGTTCTGATACCGAAGAAAAACCACGTTGCTGATCTGATAACACGTCACTACCACAGACAAGTCCACCACCAAGGTCGTCAGATTACGCACGGTGCCATCCGCCAAGCTGGGTACTGGTTGATTGGAGGCCACAATACTATAGCACGGGAGTTAAACAAGTGTGTTACATGCAAGAAATTGAGAGGACCAGTGATACAACAGCGTATGGCCGACCTACCAGCAGACAGAACAGAAGTAGCCCCTCCCTTCACAAACGTTGGGTTCGACGTTTTCGGCCCCTGGATGATACGTTCTAGGAAGACACGCGGAGGCGCAGCCAACTCCAAACGCTGGGGACTGGTGTTCACTTGTCTAAGTAGCAGAGCGATCCACATCGAACTACTGGAGTCCATAGATGCTAGTTCCTTCATCTCCACCTTGAGAAGATTCTTTGCACCTAGCGGTCCTGTTTCCATTCTCTGGTGCGATCGGGGTACGAATTTCATTGGTGGAAAATCGGAGCTGGAAGACGCCCTGAGAGAGATGGACCAACGTCAAGTGAAAGGCTACGTAAACAACCATGGGTGCGAGTGGATCTTCAACCCACCACATGCCTCACATTTTGGTGGCGCTTGGGAGCGCCAGATAGGCACCATTCGCCGCGTATTAGAAGCGATGTTTGCGGAGCTTGGCAGCCATCAACTTACACACGAACTACTCGTAACACTTATGGCAGAGGTGACCGCGATAGTCAACGCCCGCCCTGTATCTGCTATACCAACAGATGCAGATGAACCTCAACCACTGTCACCCTCTATGCTTTTGACTATGAAGACACGCCCACTTGGCCCGCCACCCGGCAACTTTGTTCCACCTGACGTCTACGCACGACGCCGTTGGAGACGTGTCCAGTACCTTGCAGACCAATTCTGGATACGATGGAGGCGCGAGTACCTTCAAAGCATGCAGACCAGGACCAAGTGGGAGGAGCCGAAAAGAAATCTACGCACAGGAGACGTAGTTCTTGTCAAAGAGGAGGGAGCTTACAGAAACGACTGGCCCGTCGGCAGAGTTTCAGAAGCCATTGAGAGTGATGACGGACGAGTAAGAAAGGCCCAAGTTGAGATAGTGAGAGGCGCTGCAAAGAAGACGTTCTTGCGACCAATTAAGGAGCTTGTCCTTCTGGTACCCGCACCAGCGGAGTAGTTCCCCTAAACACAGAAGATAATTAAACAGGAGCAAGGATCAGAGATCCTTGGGCGAGGAGTGTCACGTTATCCGCGAGATATGACATTTTAATTAGTTACATTCAAGGACTGTTTTTTCTTTCGTGATTGTAACATTGATTTTTTTTATTGCATGATCATCGTATATCCGTTTTTTGGCTAGGCGTACAAAGCTTTATTCAGTTTATTTCCTTTACGTCAGAAGGCATGCGTTAGATTATTCTTTTCCTAAGCACGTTTATTCAGTTGTAAGAAGTCCATCACAGTGTAAGGAGCTTTTGGAGAACTTTCGGAGTTATTACATATGTAGGAGATTTGGAGTTCTTTTAACTCCCGGAGTCAAGATCAGACGTAAGTCACGCTTGTAAATTCAGTAGTTTGTTTTTCTTTCCTTTTTCGTGCACGGAGCATTATCGTAGTTTTCTTTTCTCCTGACGTAAAAATCGCACGTTTCTTTCTAGTTTTCACCGCAAGTGCTGTAAATAGTCGGACTAGCCTGATTTTAATAAACGCCATTGAATCTTGCTGACCGTCTAGTGCTTCACTGTGGTTGACCTGGCGAACTCCAGTGCCTAACGCCACGCGTCTACGACACTGGGAACGCGACATCTTTTGAAAGTTTCTTGTGATTGGTTTGTGAAGTTCGTCGGCTAATTGTTGAGACCAATCACTACTCAACGCCGACGCGCGTTTTTTTGAATTCCAAGACCAAGTTTTTGTTTTGTATTTATTAAAGTTCTAGACAACCAATGCCCCCATTGTCTTTCTTTCCAAGGAATTGCATCTAGTGATTTTACCATTTTTTTATCTGCAGCATGTTTGCATTTTAATTGTTCACTTTTGGGAAGGTTTCCACAAACTGTGTAATCTACATCATGTTGCATACTAACCGCATCTGTTGGTCCTGTAGGTTGTTGGTAGATTTCTAGTATATTTCCATCATTATCGTGTCTAAGTTGGTCCTCAAGAGGATTTCCAGGTCCAGTATAATTATGACCTGGTAAAGTTAATCCTTTACAAGGAGCAACTTTTAGTATTTCTTTGTGAATGTCGACTCCTCGTCCTGATCGTCCGTCTAAATCCTTTCTATCAGTTTTATATTTATTTTTAGGTCTAACTTTTGTTGATAACTGATCCATTGCTGTTCCAACAGAATCTTGAATAAATGGAGTTAGTTTATTAATTCCATAATTTACAGCTTTTTTCTGAATATTTTTATTTCTCATTAACTCACTTGCTCCATATCGCCCCATTTCAACTGCTTTTTTACCCATCCAAGGTAAACCATAATTAACAAAACCATCAACTGCTGTACCAACAACAGTATCAAAGACGCCCGCCCCTTTAGACGGGCTAATTAGTTTTTTGACTTCTTTTTTGTTTTTTTCTTTTTACCACTTCCAGTTTGAGAAGCTGTACCTGTTTTTACATATCTAACTTTTCTATTTCCACAAACTGCACATCTACAATAGAATTGTTTTCTACCTCTTTTATCAGTTTGGTAACCGCTTGGCTCTGTGCAAGGAGTTACTCTTTTATCTACAATGCAATATGATTCTTTCATTTAATATAATGTTTAGATAAAATATGTCAAATAGATCTAATTTTCTAAAAAGTGAACTTCAAAAGATATACAATAACCTAAACATGAGTTATGAATATGCTGATTTTTCTAGATTGGAAAATGACACTCGTTTTATAAAAGTATTTGAGTTGGTTATGGAAATAAGTGAGAAATCAAATACTCTTAATAAAGTTGTAAAAGGTAATTATCTATTTATATAGTAAATGGAGGCTAAATTCTTTTCTGAGATAGAGAAAAAGATGGATGTTAAAAAAATCAAGGATTTTGAGAAAGAAGTAAGGACAAAAATATATAAGGAGTTAGAGTCTCTTAGAAAGAAAAATGATAATCTTTCTAGAATACTAATTGCAGGTGAAAGTAATATGTGGAAAAAAATCAGAAATGAGGAATATTCTTGGTTGCAGATAAATAGTGATAAAAAGAAGAAACTTTATCATCTTATTGATATTTACTCAAATTTTATTGAAATAGTTGATAGTGTTAAACAACTAAATTTAAAAGTTGATAGGGTTAAAAAGCTTAAGGATACACCGGTGGATAGTGAATAAAAATGATTTAAAGAAATAATAAGTAATATAGAGATAATGGAATTTGAGAACGTATACTTTTATGATAAAAAATCAGTAAGAGATTATACTAATAAGATTCGAAATGAAATAAATAATGGGTTAGATGATCTTCGAAAAAGAGATACTAATTTTGATGATAAATTATTAGAAAGAGAAATGGATTTATTTAAAAATATTAAAGCCATTCTTAGTGTATATGAACAAGATACTTATAAAAAAGAAGTAAAAAGGTTAATTAATCTTATTGAAATTTTTATATGTTTGGAAAGATTAAGTTTTCATAATCGTTGCTTTAAAAATGATGTTAATAGTATTAAATCTTTAGTAAATGGAGATTAAAAAAATAATATTTAATAAATATTATTTTTATCCTCCAAAGTATGCTTTTGTAAAATCACTATTGTCATTATCAAAATGAGGGTTATGTATTACATCTAGAATACTATTATCTCGTTGTCGCTCGAACAGATAATATAAACACCAATATACACATAGAACAGTTTTTCGATTTTGTATTTCATCTATATTGAGTAAACTATACGTTTTCCAGAAGTATTAAAATACTCTAATGCTTCATTTGGCATTATTAAACCAAATGGATCAAAGTACTCAACTACCGAATCAAGATTTCTATAACAAACCCAATGCGTGCCAGGGCCTGTCATATCATCTAGATTGATTATACCACATTCTTTTTTTATCTTATGAGGTAGACCATCACGACTATATATTCCTCTAAAATGTTTAATTCCAAGTCTTTTTATCCAATCCATATGGTCAAAGTTGGACAGTGGTTTAATTACAAAATGGTTCCTAGAATGGAAATTGAGTTGAATGGACTGTTTTTTCCTAATAATATTCCTTTTCCTTTGGACTTGGACTTTTTTTTTTTAACTCCCATTCCTATTGGGTTTTCCCAACTACATAAAAAAGGTGGTGGAAAGTGATAAGGATAACCCTCACCATGTGTGGATGGAGGAGGAGGTGGAACGTAAACATTTGCTGTATTAGATGATCCACGTCTATCAACCTGAAGTCTCCCACCAAACATCTTAGATACTAAACTAATTGCCATTGGAATTCCAATAGAAGCAAGAGTTCCAAGAAATCCTCCTTCTATCTGTTTACGAGTTGGTTTGATAACCAATCGCGCACCTGATTTATAAATTTTATTTATTAGATCTATTTGTGATTTGGTTAATTCTCCTCTAATAGCTGGTAACATTGGAAAAAACGTTTTTGGAATTGTGATTCCTTTTCCAAATATTTTATTTAGACCAATTTCTCCAAGTGCGGTTGCAGCACCAGTTGCTAATGCAGGAACAGCTTTTGAAATTCCTTTTATTGCGTAAGGTAATACTTTTGCTCCAATAGAAGCAAGTGATGAAAATAAGTTTCCACCATGTTTTACAGAACGTCTAATCTGAGTTTTACTTATCTTTATATCTGATCCTGTTCCATTTCTAAGTGATTTTTTAATTTTAGTAATTTGTCTTTGGGTTAGCATTAACTCATCAGAACCTTGAAGATGAGAATGTTTTAAACGAAGAGTTAGTGGTGATTTATTTTTGATTGCAGAAGCCAGTTTTGACTTTTGCCCATCTGTAAGTTTTACTCCGTATTCAAAATAAGTAGTCATTTTTTATTATAATATTTATATTAAATTTAATTACATCACTTAATCTTTTCTTCTTTGGTTGGTGGGCTATATAATATAATTAGATTTGAAGATAAAATCTAATTATAGAAAATTGCATTGTCATTAGAACCTTCTAGAAGGTTATTGTTTTATATCACGAGATTATCGTGTGATTTTTTCAGCCAATCAAATGATTACACAAAATTTTCTACAACTTGTATAAAATTCTGTGAAACTTTAACAGCTTGTGTAAAATTTTGATTATGCCTCTAACTTTGAGCCAGTTGGAAGGTTGTAGGGATGCCTGTATTGAGAAAATTCAGGAATTAAAGGTGAATATATATCAAAAGGATTTACCATTTTTATTTTATTTTTAGATTAAGCACGAAGCAATAGTTTTCCTCCTTGCTGTTCTATTTCTGCCACTCGCTCTTGAGGTATCAAAGCGTAAATATTATAATCAGCGTTTGGATTAGCAGATAGTTCGTAATGAAAAGCTAGTTTTGTGACTCCATCTTTTATATCCATTTTTTGTTTTGTCAGGTCAAAATAAACAAAAGGAAACAAAGACTCAAAATTTGTTCTATTTAGAAGTGTTCCACCTTGAAAGTCGTTATTTGCGTAAACATAACCCATTACTTCTCGAAACACTCTTGCCGGATCTGTTGCTGGTTTAAAGTGAATACAAGGGTATTCATTTCCATTTCCAACCTCTAGATAACAACGAGACATGTTAGACATGTATTGTTTGGTAGATTAAAAGTGTTGTACAGGAATGGATTTGCTGTTTGAGAATCAATATTGGCTGTGTTAATCGCAAAAACAAAGACATGGCGAGGTTTTGAGATAGCATTTGTAATTCTAAAATGACCTGTTTGCTGTTGAGAGTTATTTGATCGCTCTACTACTTCATTAAGATACATCCATTTGTAGGGCTTGAGATAATTTTTCAGATATATTTCTTGTCCTTTTTTGTTAAATGTTATTCTTGGAACAAATAGTTGAAATCTTGTTAGTATAACTCTACAGTCTGCGTTTCCAGCTGTGTTACTTCTCCAAATAAGATTACCATCTGATTCTAGTTCTATATTTAACTCAATTTTTGTATTTGGAAGAAGTTTATCATCTAATGATTCAAAGAAAGAATATCTGTTGAGGGGAATTTCACATCGTACTGTTGTTGAGTCGCCTAGTAATACTTTTCTTATTGAAAAACCTTTGTTATAATTAGCTACTACTGCATCTAACATTGGTCCTGCATCATCAGCATTATTAGCAGCATTCCTTCTATGAGTTACATTTCTTAATGTAAACTTTTGTCTTTCAGCATGTCTTGATGTATCAAGATAGTAAAATTCATTTGTAGCAACACTCTCAACATAGGAAGGATTATACTCAAGCAAATTTTTAATATTTACTACATGATTAGCATAGTTGCAACTGTAAACATCTCTACCATTTGCCATTATAGATAACGTTTCTATGAGAGAACTACTTCCATTTACTATTCCCATTTGGTCACCATCTGTATCTATATTAGCTCCAGCAGCCAACTGATTAACTTTGAAATCTACTGAAAATCGCGCCTTATACCAATCAAATGGAGTTGCCTCACCTGTATTATCAGCAACAAATCTATGACCTGTTTTAGTTTGGTGAGCACCATTTGCAGGGGCTGTATCTAAAGTCTGTTCAAGGTCAAAAACAACATCTTCATATCTTTCTAAATATTCTGGATTTCTAAAGGACTTCATTTTATTTTAATAATTATATAATTTTACCCCCACTCAGAATGGCATTCACTCTTTGTTTTATCTCTTTTTGAGTCATTTTTTTGTTTGGATTTGTTTTAAAAGTAATTTTTTTGGTGGGGGGTGCAACCTTTTCTTTTCTTAACATTTGCACTATCTTATCACCAGCCTTTTTACCAACATGTTCACCAGTTTTTGTTGCAGCTGCTGTCACTGCTTTTTCAACACCTTTTTTAGCAGCTTTTTTCATTGTTTTTCCAAATAATTTTGAACCAACAGATTTAAACACATCTGTTATTCCTTCACCATAAATATGTTGTCTTGTATATCGTCCCAATACAGGGTCAAATCTCTTTTTAAACTCTGATTGTCGCCTCATTTTTATTTTAATATTTATATTACATTGAGTGAAGTATTAATGTCATAAACCAATCAATACCATTAAAATTTACTGGTCTACCAAGTGTGTCTGTCACATAAATTCTCATTTCATCAATGTGAAACGATGATAAAGGACAGTACAATGGTCTTTTAGGTTCAAACGTAAATGGAAAAGACCTTGTAAGATTATCAGTTGGTATCACAGCAATAGTATTTGTATTTATTCCATTTACAATGCTATCAGTTATTGCGGTTGTGTTGATATTTAATACATCAATTGAATTTGTTATATTTGGTAGTTTTGATCCATACTCTGTTTTTGTAATAAGTTTCTTTTCAAATCCAATCAGGTCTCCAAATTCTGTTCCTCTCAGATCAAGTTGATAATCTCCATCAAGTGATATGAGAACTCTATATGTCTAGAGCCGACTAGAGTCTATGGTAATTCAGCAACTTTAATTGACAATATTTTCATAAATAATCCTGAGAATAATATAGTCAGCGGCAATATCGTGTCCGATACAACAGATCACTTCTCTCAGATGTGCATATTAACGTCGCACTGTAAACCATTCTTTCCAAACAACAAAACTAAGGTTCGTGACTATTCTACCTTCAATGCAAAGTCTTTCATTGACGACTTGCAGAATATTAATTGGAATAATATTTGCAAACATATCGATGCCAATCAATCGCTCTCCAGGTTTTACAAATGCGTCAACAAGACAATTAACAAACACGCTCCTTTAAGAAGTATATCCAATCGTAAACAAAAATTCCTTGCTAAACCATGGCTGACGGCGGGTTTAAGAAAATCAATCAGGGTAAAGAATAACCTCTTCTATACCTCAGACCGTGACAAATACAAATTTTACAGAAATAAAACCATTTATCTTACGAGATTAAGTAAAGCGAACTACTACCAAAGTTTCTTTGATCTCAACATATGTAATATGCGTCAAACTTGGAAAGGAATTAACGAGCTAATTGGAAACTGTAAAAAGAAAAACAAGCGCAACTCAACTAACTCTATTCGCTCAAACCCGAATGAGGTTCCAACTAGTGACCCGAAGGAGATAAGCAATATTCTTAACAAATATTTCGCCACTGTTGGGAGCAAACTGGCTTCTAAAATTCCTCAGACCATAGATACATTCTATGATTATTTAGATCCGCCACTTAATCGCACTTTCTTCTTTGATCCTATTATTCCGGAAGATATCAATTTAGAAATTTCGGTTTTGCAAGACAACAAGGCCCATGGTCTCTACTCATCTCCAGTTAGGCTGCTGAAATTAGCAAAAAGGGTCATATCCGTACCTCTAGCCACGATTTTTAATCAGTCTATTTGCTCAGGGATTTTTCCATCTAAACTAAAGTGTGCTAAGATTATCCCGATATTTAAGGACGAAGATGACACGCTGCCCGAAAACTACCGACCTATTTCTCTGCTCTCGATTTATAACACGATTTTTGAAAAACTTATGTACTCCAGAGTTACCAAGTTTGTCAAAGATTGCAATATTCTCTATGCTCAGCAATACGGTTTTCGCAGTAAGCACAGTACTCAGCATGCTGTACTTGATATTGTTAACACAATTCTCCAAAACATGGACAACGGTAAATTTTCGTGCGGTGTTTTCATCGATCTCAAAAAGGCTTTTGATACTGTTAACCATGAAATTTTGTTAGCTAAACTTGAAAATTATGGTATTAGAAGTGTAATAAACTCCTGGTTCAGATCATACCT